CAAGTTCATCACTTACAAGTTCTACCTTCCACCAAACATTTGGGCATAATTCAGACAAGTTCTTTGCCACTGAATAAAAACCACTGCCCTGCCTCCATTGTCCAGTCATGTTCATCATTTTCTTTTAAAGCCTCAGCAGAAGCACATTTAATGTCCATGTTTCTAGCAACATTCTGTTGCTGGTGTCATATGTATTCTCTGAGATGATACAGACTTTCTCTATAGCTCTCCTTCTGAGTCCCCACCAGACTGCCTTTGACATCAATAATCTACCAACAGTCTCTTCAAGGCAATCTAGGCTTTTACTATTAGGCACCTTAAAACTCTCCCAGCCCCTACCCATTACCCAATTCCAAAACTGCTTTCACTTTTAGGTACCTGTTAGAGCAGCACCCCACTCTTCTGGTACCAAATTCTGTCTTAGTTATCTAGTGCTGCTATAACAGAAATACCACAAGTAGATGGCTTCAAGAAACAGAAATTTATTTTCTCATAGCTAGAAGTCTGAATTCAGGGCACTGGCTCAAGGGGAAGGTTTTCTTTCTCTTTGTTGGCTCTGGAGGAAGTTCCTTATTTCTTCTGAGCTTCTGCTCCTAGGCAATTTTAATGTGCTTGGTAGTTCTCTTACCCGTCTCCCTTTGCTAGCATGCGTTTAATCTCTTTTATATCTGAAAAGAGACTGACTCAGATATACTCTATACTAATCCTGCCTCATTAATATAACAAAGATAACCCATTCCCAAACAGGATTATAAGTACAGGCATAGAGGCTAGGATTTACAACACATATTTTGGGGGAACACATTTCAATTCATAACACAGCGTTTCTGGGATAATGTCAGATTTTGGATAATTACAAAAACCGGACACAAATGTGCAAACCAGATTTCAATTTCTTCTCCACTGACACGAGATTTAAAACAGCAACAGGAACATTTCTAGGTCAGTGTCAATATGTAGTCACAAACTACCAAAGTAAGAAACAAACTGGGGTGCACGGGTGTGCGATTTTGTTTTGGCATGGGAGAGACACTGAAATATTCACAACATACAAGCCAAATCATAAAAATAAAATGAGACTTATGATCCCATCATTTTGAAAGAACAGGATTTAGCTCTGACGTCTTACAGATTTGTGATATTCTGACTTTTGCTTCGATAGTCCTAAATTATACAAGTTCTAGAACATAAGCACAACTTTCCACAATGATTGTTAAGTGAAGCAATCCAGAGGAAAACTTATTTTCAACAGAAGAAAAACTCTCTTACACATATTTATTAACAAACATGGAAAAATTAAAACTGGGACATACACTCAGATTTCATGTTATTTATCAGGAATTAGGAGGTGATGACCAATAACTAATTCCTCATCTAAACATTGTATCTTTTCCTTCAATTTAAACACATTTCAATTTATAAAGTTTTACAAGTTTACTAAAGATAGACTATTATTCTACAACTTTTAAAGTAACTAAAGTTGGAAAACAGTATTACAAACTAAGTACAGAGTTAAATCATGTAAACAAAGAAAAGGAGGCTTAGAGTTCTCAATGCTTACCCAGGATAAGTTCAAAATCTGCTTATGAAGGGATAAAGGAAACTATTATTTGGCAATAACATTTTACTGTATTGAATGATTGCTTAGAAATTGACATAATTTTTTATCTGTACTTTAAAGCATGCAACAATTTATACCAAACATCTGAACTACTACAAAATTTCACTGAATTCATTATTACCTGAAAACTTTCCCTAACTCAAAGATAATTTTCTTGATTCAATAAGATTCTTGAGCAAAAAATATTTATTGGCATTATTAATTGAAAACAAATCTTTAAATCCTCAAAAATAACTGTACATCTCCGAGATAAATCAATAATATCTACAAAGCCCTGACCTGTATGGTGGGCACATGCTCAGTGCTTTCATCACCTTTATTTAATTTACTCCTTGTAGCAACTCCAGGAGACAGTGATTCCTATCTCTATTTTACAAGAGGAAATGGAGCTTCAGACAGGACATTAACTTGCAAGAATGCACAGCTTGTAGGAAGTGATTTAACTCTATACTTGACTTCCAAGTAGAACCATAATCTCATACTCTTCTAACGACATCATAATGTATCACAGAAATACGATATGTCTGTCTTACATAAAGTGGACTTCGATTATCTTTGAAAGGATGAACATAGTTTTAGATGCCACTGCAAAAACATTTAGGTTTCCCAAAAATATCCCCTGAAGTCTTCTTAAAACCAAACAATAGTTTAGCTTAACTAGTAAAGAATGTCTGCCTTGAGCACTGTACTCTTTAAAGATCTATATGGGAACTCTGTAAGTTGCTCCTGAATATAGAGTAGCTAAAGCAAACAGAAGAAATGATGAGGTAAAAGAGCTGAACAGAAGATTTCAAAGGGCGGCTTTAGAAGACAAAGTAAAGTATTATAATGATGTGCAAAGACCTGGAGGTAGAAAACCAAAAGGGAAGAACACATTTGGAATTCCTAAAGCTGAAGAACTGAAGAAAAAATTCAAGCCTCAAGTTGCAATACTGAAGGATTCTATGGGGAAAATACTAAATGACGCATGAAGCATCAAAAGAAGATGGAAGGAATACACAGAGTTACTGTACCAAAGAGAATTGGTTGACATCCAGGCATTTCAGGAGGCAGTATATGACTAGGAATCAATGGTACTGAAGGAAGAGGTCCAAGCCACACTGAAGACACTGGGGAAAAACAAGGCTCCAGGAATTGACGGAATACCAACTAAGATGTTTCAACAAATGGATGCAGCGCTGGAGATGCTCACTCATCTATGCCAAGAAATTTGGAAGACAGCTACCTGGCTAACCGACTGGAAGAGATTCATACTTGTACCGTTTCCAAACGAAGTTGATCCAACCGAATGCGGAAATTATTGAACAATATCATTAATATCACACACAAGTGAAATTTTGCTGAAGATCATTCAAAAGTGGTTGCAGCAGTACTTCGACAGGGAACTGCCAGAAATTCAAGCCAGATTTAGAAGAGGACTTGGAACCACGGGTATCACTGCTAATGTCAGACAGATCCTGGCTAAAAGTACAGAATACCAGAAAGATGTTTACCTGTGTTTTATTGACTATGCAAAGGCATTTGACTGTGTGCAAAATAACGAACTACGGATAACATTGCGAAGAATGGGAATTCCAGAACACTTAATTGTGTTCATGAGAAACCTGTACTTAGACCAAGAGGCAGTCGTTTGAACAGGACAAGGGGATACTGCATGGTTTAAAGTTAGGACAGATGTGCATCAGGGTTGTATCCTTTCACCATACTTATTCAATCTGTATGCTGAGCAAATAATCTGAGAAGCTGGACTATATGAAGAAGAATGGAGTATCAGATTGGAGGAAGACTCATTAACAACCTCCAATATGCAGATGACACAATCTTGCTTGCTGAAAGTGAAGAGGACTTGAAGCACTTACTGATGAAGATCAAAGACTGCAGCCTTTAGTATGGGTTACACCTCAACAGAACGAAAACAAAAATCCTCACAACTGGACCAATAAGCAACATCATGATAAATGGAGAAAAAACTGAACTTGTCAAGGATTTCATTTTACTTGGATCCACAATCAACACCCATGGAAGCAGCAGTCAAGAAATCAAATGACATACGGTACTGGGCAAATCTGATGCAAAAGATCTCTTTAAAGTATTAAAAAGCAAAGATGTCACTTTGAGAACTAAGGTGTGCCTGACACAAGCTGTGCTGTTTTCAATAGCCTCATATGCATATGAAAGCTGGACAATGAATAAGGAAGGCCGAAGAAGAACCAATGCCTTTGAATTATGGTGTTGGCGAAGAATATTGAATATACGATGGACTGCCAGAAGAACGAACAAATCTGTCTTGGAAGAAGTACAGCCAGAATGCTTCTTAGAAGTCTCACGTATTGTGGACATGTTATTAGGAAGGACCAGTCCCTGAAGGACATCATGCTTGGTAGAGTAGAGGGTCAGCGAAAAAGAGGAAGACCCTCAATGAGATGGACTGACACAGTGGCTGCAACAACGGGCTCAAGCATAACAAAGATTGTGAGGATGGTGCAGGACTAGGCGGTGTTTTGTTCTGTTGTACACAGGGTCACTATGAGTCAGAACCAACTCAACAGCATCTAACCACGACATCTGTGTAAGATCAAATTTACAGCAGCAACTTGAAAGATTAGATAGGAAACTTAGGGAGCAGTGAGTTTATGTTAATGAGGGAGGAACAACTCAGAAAAGGAGGGTGAGAATGGTTGTACAACTTAAAGAATGTAATCAGCGTCACTGAAATGTACAAGTAGAAGTTGTTGAATTGGTGTATGTCCTGCTATGTACATTCTCAACAAGAAAAACAAATTATAAAAATAAAACACCAAAGAAAACTCAAATAAAAAAAAAATCCAAGGTTTTTGATAAGAATGGTGAAAATTCATAAAAGGAGAAGTTGTTAAGGTAGCAAACTAGAAATAATTTTTCAAGATAAGCTTAATCCCATATACCAGATATTATGAGAATGTTTAGAAATTCAGTCAAAAAGTAATATGCATACGGTAAACAGTGGTGACAAACATAATCAATTATATTGTTCAGCAATTGAAAATAATATTTTTTTGAAACATTAAATTGAGTAATACTCCTTTATAATTATTGAAGAAGTTATAATACTCCCATAAACACAGATTACTAAAGAAAAGGTATACATACACACACATATACATTCAACCACTGCCAGGGTAACACTGAAAGGAGAGACGTTTTTCTCTTCATGTAAATGTTTGTGTCCCTGAGAATCTGGAAAATAGCATGTATTCAAAATACAGAGGATATGCATTCAAGAACCCTGTGATAAATCAAAAGCATTATTTTTCCTTAATCATCTCTTCTTTGGAGCTGACTCGTTGAGTCAATTACAGTCTTAAAAGGTGAAACTAAAACATAGAACAGAGTAGGAAAATAATTTTTCAAACCATAAACATTTTATTTAACAAAAGCCAATAAGTGAGATATTTCTAAAGCTTATAGTGTATTTAATATAAAAATAAGGAATTCTCTAAAATCTGTACTAAAAATACAAATTTTATGGACCTGAAGTACAGAACAAATTTATTTTACATTTCAGTCACCCAGAACAGCAGCTTGTGGTCTCCTCCAACTGCACACAGTGGGAGAGTTCTATGCCAGGAAAGACCAGATCCAACCGGTACACAGCCAATGAGGATGGGCTACAAAATGAGTGAAGAATTAAAGAAGCTCAATAAATCCCCAAAGTTAATAAATAAAAACCTACTTTTGAAATTAAGAAATGCATCGGTAAGTTAATTTTCTTTATACTGGAAACATAATTTAAAAATACACTCTCTCATACGTAAAATACACATTATTTACAAATGGCTGGAGTAAAGGACATAATTAATCTATGAATAACTAGTGCAGCTCAGACTCAAACATTTTTGCAGTCTACACCAACCAAGCAAGCACAATTAAATTATTTAAGTAAAAGAGGAAATACAATAGCAGAAGAAATAAAATGCTTCTTTAATGAATACTGGTCAAAACTATGTTGCCACTGGTGAATTTAAGTATCAAAAAATGCCTTCACTTTCTAATTTAAGCAGATAGCAGACATTCATAAATGTTTTGAGTTACCTATTTAAAAATTAGAGGCCATGGGTGGAAGAGTAGAAAAGACAAATTAAAAAACACACATATCACAAAATACTTCCACATTACCTGGGGGTGTCCTAAATGGTGAATTTGAAACTGGCTTGTCATTTTGCCAGGGTAGCCAGTTGTTGCAAACAAGTTTTCATTAATTGTGGACCACCTAAGACAAAAGACAGAATAAAAATAGGTACGGTTTCCTACAGATAACCATAAGCCCTTCTGCAACAGGGTTTTTTTTTTTTGTACAGAAACAATAATTTTATAACTCTAAATTTTTGAGGCTGGTGCAGGACAGGGCAGTGTTTCCTTCTGTTGTACGCAGGGTGACTGTGAGTCGGGAACCGACTTTACAATTAGACTAGTAATTATAAATTAATTCCAGGGAAGTCAGCTAAAAATATTTTCTCATTCTGTAAATATTTTCAAGTGCATATTGTGTCTTACTTCATTAAGTTCCAAAGTCACACAAGGATAACACAGTCCCTTTCTTATAACCAAAGGGCTTACAGTGTGCTGGGAGACAGAAACAAGTCATTAGATATAAAATATTTCAGAGAACAATACATTTAACAGTCTTATTGACATTCATTATAAAATTAGTGATACACTCGTGCTTAAATTTCTTGGGATGACATAAAAACACCTAGAATATTTAAGTATCAAGGAGTGTTGGACATTGCAGCAACAAAGCAATTAATCAACAAATGTTTACAATGCTCCAATGACATGCCCAGGACTGTACAAAGCGTAGTAAGGGAGATATAAGAAAAAAGAAATGATTCCTTGGCAAAAAAAGGTTAAAAATCTAGTTGATATTTTTATGTGTGGCACATAGTAAGGGAGATATAAGAAAAAAGAAATGATTCCTTGGAAAAAAAAAGGTTAAAAATCTAGTTGATATTTTTATGTGTGGCAAAAAGTACTGGCTGCTGGACAACAGCCATCTGTTTTTCTTCCATGTTAACTGAAGCCTAACTTTGTTCAGGTGGCTGTGTGTCCAAACTTAGGAGATGAGATACAATTTACTTAAGCTTACCATCGCAATTGCCAATAAAAGGGATTGCTCCTTTCTTATTTTTGGGCAACGTGGTATTAGGCGATGATACCTGGGACTTTATAGCCATCTTGTGACTGCAAAGCAACAAGCTCAGGGCCATGCCATTGAGGATGGCAGATGGAAAAGATGAAATGATCTGGGCTCTTCAATGTGTTGATGAATGCTAGACCAATCCTGAGACTGACTTCTTTTAAGTTCTGTAGTTCACTGATTTAAAATGTACATTTAGGAAACAAGTCGCAAAAGGACAAATATTATATAAGACCACTATCATAAGAACTCAAGAAAATGTTTAAACACAGAAGAAAACATTCTTTAATGTTTACGAGGGTGGGGAGAGAGGGAGAGGGTTATTCATTAACTAGATAGTAGACAAGAATTATCTTAGGTGAAGGGAAGGACAGCACACACTACAGGGGAAGTCAGCACAACTGGACTAAACTAAAAGCTAAGATGCTAAGAAGTTTCCTGAATACAACCAAACACTTCGAGGGACAGAGTAGCAGGGGTGGGGGTCTGGGGACCATGCTTTCAGGGGACATCTAGGTCAATTGGCATAACAAAGCTTATTAAGAAAATGTTCTGCATCCCACTTTGATGAATGGTGTCTGGGGTCTTAAAAGCTAGCAAACAGCCATCTAAGATGCATCAATTGGTCCTAACCCACCTAAAGTAAAGGAGAATGAAGAACACCGTAGACACAAGGTAAGTATTAGCCCAAGAGACAGAAAGGGCCACATAAACCAGAGACTCCATCAGCCTGAGACCAGAAGAACTACATGGTGCCCGGCTACCACCAATGACCTCCCTGACAGGGAATACAACAGAGAGTACCTGACGGAGCAGGAGAAAAGTAGGGTGCAGAACTCAAATTCTAGTCAAAAGACCAGACTTAATGGATTGATTGAGACTGGAGGGACCCTGGAAGACAGGTTAGTCCAAAACTAAAACCATTCCTGAGGCCAACTCTTCAAAGATTAGACTGGACTATGGGACATAAAATGATATTCATGAACAGCATGCTTCTTAGCTCAAGTAGGTACATGAGGCTAAACGGGCTGCTCTTGTCCAGAGGTGAGATGAGAAGGCAGAGAGGGTCAGGAGCTGGCTGAATGGACATGAGAAATCTGGGGTAGAAAGGAAGAGTGTGCTGTCACAGTATAGCGAGAGCAACTAGGGTCACATAACAATGTACATATAAATTTTTGTATGAGAGACTAACTTGAATTGTAAGCTTTGACTTAAAGCACAACAACTAAAAATAAATAATTTGCTCATGTTTGTGAAATCAGGATGCTTTTCACAATCTATGGCTTTGTTACTTTTAGTGAAATATTTTCATTTTAAGGGTACATAAAATATGGTCTTCCCAAGTCCTATAATTTTATAGGAGATAATTTAGATTTGATGAAATGTAGTATATAATAAATATTCCATTGGTTTTGGTCAGTGCTAGTTGGGATCCCTGTTAGTTAAAGCTGAAAGTAGCCTAATGAATATACTACATGTGATGATTAAGGTTATGTGCCAGCTTGGCTAGGCCATGATTCTCAGTGGTTTGGCAGATACTATATAATCGTTCTCCATTTTGGTGATCTGATGTGAGCAGCCGATCAGTTGAAAGGAGAGTTTCCTTGGGGGTGTGGCCTCAATCTAATATATACAGATGTTCTGGCAAAGCTTGCTCTGTCTGGATCCTGCATCCAACTCATCATCCTCTGACCTCCAGTACTTGGGACGTGAGCCAGCAGCCTGTCATCTGAACTGCAGATTTTGGGTTCGTCAGCCCCTGCACACATGTAAGTCAGGAGAAGCCTCCAGCCTAATGTCTGACCTACAGATTTGGGACTTTCCAGCCTCTAGAACTGTGTGAGACATTTCCTTGAAATAAATCACTCTCTCTATAATGCTTCACTTGTGTTTCTCCTCTAGAGAACCCAGCCTAAGACATTATACAATGGAATATTATACAAAAATGAAAAAGAACAAAGTAGACTTGTATGTTAAGTGAAATAAAGTCAGACATATATAGCATGTTCTCATTTAAAAGACAACAATCAAGTTTATATGACTATATATGGATGCACCTACATTTACATCTTTATCAGCATAGAAAAATGTTAGGAAGGATATGCTCTAAATTATTGGGGTGGTACTGGTGAAGCGGCAACATTTTTTAATAAAATTTTTCAAGGAAAATACTGGAAAACAAATCAATTCCTCCCCCAGACCAAAAGACAAAAGCAAACACTTAGGAAAGCAAAATGACTATTTATGAAACAATTAGAAAAAAATCCAGTACAAAAAGAAGGATTGGGAAAGTATTCCAGGCAGTGGCACAGCACAAAGTAACCAAACTCAAAAAATCAGATTATAACTCCAACAAAAATGATACACTACCTGAATAAGAAGGCTCGATCTAAGTGGATAGGTCTCTTCTCTTGAGGATAACTAAAAGAAAATATTTTGCGTTTTATGAATTATGTCTTTGACTCAAGTAAGTAAACTTACATTAAGACTTAAAAGGTATTTTCTCTTTAAAGGACACAATGCCCCAATGAATCTAAACTGTAATAAAATTTCAAATAAGCATTACATTAAAAAAGATAAAATACAGTAGAGATATAAACATGACTTAGCTCTACAGGACACCTTCACTCAACAGGGACAGTGTTCTTCTTTTGTTCTTAACATAACATCGCTTAGATCAAAGATTTCCTTTTCCACATTGTCCTTTCTGAGTTATTCCCAAGTAAATCTGCAAAGCATGGGTACCCATCTCTGTTACATAAAAACCCATAGGTTTGGCTCTTCTCCAAGGAGAGACTTGATTTTGTGCTACAGTGACGCTCAGGTTTACAAGGACAGCCAATGGATCATCTAGCAACAATGACTGATTTCTTGTTAAGTAATAAAATAAATACACTAAGGAAGTACCTGGACTGAGTAATATCCCAAATTAACCAATCATTCCCTGCAACAGCTCCAACTTTGAAGGTGTTTTTTAAGCACCAGTGTGCTGACATTAATGGCATCTGTTCTGATTCAAGAGACAAAATAGCCTGTTGGGCAATAAGGTCATAGAATCGGATTGTTCCATTCTTCTCTGCAACCATCAGCTGAAAGACAGAACAATAAAACTAAACCATCTATCTCACTAGCCAAACCTGAGTAGGCAGAGATTCAATGTCACACAGTAAAACCTAAGCATCTGCATATATTACAAATAGGAGATTAAATGCAAAGGAAATGAGAAACCTATATAAAAATATACAATTTGAAAAATCTTAAAAACTGGTACAAGAAAGACTCAAGAAAGTTAAGTGCCATTTTAAGTGATGATGTATGCTTACTAGAAAGAAGAGATCAGCCTCAGATCCATTCTCGGAAAAGTTACCATTAAGTTATATTGTCTAGAAAGGATAACCAAGTATGTTTCTCAAAAAACATATTTATGTGTTACACATTCTAATGCAGTGTAAGTCTGTGTCCAGAATGGAAGGCAGCCTGGCATAATGAAAGAACACAGACAGGCTTAGGGAGCAGGCTGCCTCCTACACTTAAAAGCTCAATGACTCTGCCAAGTTTGAGGGTCTTGACTGGCAGTTTCCTCATTTCTAAAATGGAGATGTGAGAGTAAGAATAGCTACTTTGCAAGGTTGCTGTGATGATTAAATCTGTAATATATGTAAAGCACCTAGTACAGTGTGTGTGATACATAGTTGCCACTCAATTAATAGTAGTTACTATTACTTCAATATTTCCTTGATCTAAGATACCACTGGAGTTCCTGGGTGGTGCTAATGGTTAATGCGCTCAGCTGCTAACCAAAAGGTTGGAGGGTTGAGCCCACCCAGAGGTGCCTTGGGAGAAAGGCCTGGTGATCTACTTCCAAAAGATCAGCCACTGAAAACCCTGTGGGCACAGTTCTACTCCAACACACATGGGGTCTCCATACCATGGATTTAAGATGTTTGAATGAATTAATCATAGATTTTATATGTATCTCTCTACAAAATACACAAATTATGATATATAATTAAATGCACAATTATAAAGTAATTCCAAATTTTATAAGATAAATCTCAAATTTACAAACCCAGTTATAGGGGCATGATTCCTTTAGGACTTTTCTGAGACACAAAACAGTAATATGCACTAAAAGAGGAAACAGCTTAAGTCGTACTGAACAGTGTAGTACTAGACCCAGACTGAGTTCACATCTGTGACTGTACAACTTTGGGCAAATTACTTCATGTTTTGGTGCTTCCATTCTCTCTTCTATAAAATGGACTGAATAACGCTACTGACCTCCAAGTGTTGTGGGTATTAAATGAGAGGATATATGTAACACATTCAGCACAGTTCCTGGCATAGAGGAAAAACATTCAACAAATGTTGGTTGTTAAATCTCACTTTATTTAGCCACTCTCTACCTTCTCTCCTGTTGGAATCAGAGAATGAGATGTCTTCAGTTCTCCTCTCTGGTCCTGTGACATCCTAGGCATTGGTTCTGTTATTATTACCTGCTGAAATCTTAGCTCCACTTGTGGTTTACAGGATTTGAGAGCTTACTGTCTTGAGGTCCTTTGCTCTTGTATCTCTGATATTTGTTTTTGGCTTTCCAGTTTGTATGGCTCTTTCATATACTTTATATCTCATAGGATTTTCATAAGAATTCTGAGATAGGTAACCATGGATCCATCTCTCTTATTTCCTTTCTGTCTTTACCTGTCTGCCTTATTTTCATCAAGGTCAAGCATAACAGAACGAAACTCTGGGCTTGATCTGGTATGGCAGACCAATGAAAACCACTGGATTGTCACAATAGTAATAGGGTAGATAATGACAACAATCATAAACAGCTAAAATTGATTTAAGTGCTTATTATATTCCAGGTACTCTTTTAAGGACTTTTATAAGTGTTTTTAGTCATTTAATACCTGTAAGAATCCATTTTACAGGTTGAGGAAGTGAAGTTTGTGAGTGAGAGAGAGCTTGCCTGAGACCACACAGCTATTAAGAGGTGGGACTGGGATTTAACTCCTGGCAGTTAACTAAAAAATCCATACTCTAAAGTACTTCTCTGTGTCACCTTTTTGTATTCTAGGTTTCTGAATTTAATAGTAATATCATGAAACTGGTATTTTAAGAAGATTTGTTGTTGTCGTTAGCTGCCATTGAGTTAGCTCCAACTAACAGCGACTTCATGTATAACAGAACGAAACACAGCCATCCTCACAATTGTTGGTATATTTGAGCCCATTGTTGGAAGGTTAGTGTAACTAACGAAGGCAAGAAGTATCAAAGAGCGGAGAGCTAGAGACTTGAAACAAGACAAGTATTGTTAAGAGTTAGGTGTGAGAAAAGAAAGGGGAAGAATGCACCCTAATGACAGAAGAGAAATGTACCCTAGTGACAATGAAGGAAAAATTAAAACACCTGGAAAAGTCTGTGTACAGGGAAGGAAGAAATCAAAGATGATTTTAGGATTTTGAGTTTATATGATTTAGAGCAAGGACTTCCGAACATTCTGAAGTTATTGGGGAAGAGGAACTGAAGTTGAAAGGTATAAATGACAGGTTCAAGACATTTCGAAAATAAAAGACGTGAAGAAGATAGTCTAAGGGGAGGCAGAAGAATGCAATGGTTAAGAGCAAGAACTATAGTAATGGCTTGGTGTTGTTGTTAGGTGCTGTTGAGTTGGTTTCCGCTCATAGTGACCCTGTGTACAACAGAACTAAACACTGCCTGGTCCTGCACCGTCCTCACAATCATTGCTATGTTTGAACCCATTGTTGCAAGCCACCGTGTCAATCCGTCTCATATGAGGGTTGTCCTCTTTTTCGGTGACCCTCTACTTCACCAAGCATGATGTCCTTCTCCAAGGACTGGTCCCTCCTGATAACATGTACAAAATATGTTAAGACGAAGTCTCACCATCTCCATTTCTAAGGAGCATTCTGGCTGTACTTCTTCCAAGACAGATTTGTTCGTTCTTCTGGCAGTCCATGGTATATTCGGTATTCTTCTTCAAAACCATAATTCAAATGCATCAATTCTTCTTCAGTCTTCCTTATCCATTGTCCAGCTTTCGCACGCATAAGAGACAGAAATACCATGGGTCAGATGTATCTTAGTCCTCAAAGTGAAACCATCACTTTTTAACACTTTAAAGAGGTCTTTTGTAGTAGACTTGCCCAATGCAATGTGTAGTTTGGCTTCTTGACTACTGCTTCCATGAGTACTGACTGTTGATTCAAGTAAAATGAAATCCTTGACAACTTCAATCTTTTCTCTGTTTATTGTGATGTTGCTTATTGGTCCACTTATAAGGATTCTTGCTTTCTTTATGTTGAGGTGAGAACCAGGCTGCTTGGGTTCAACTGCCAGTTCTTCCACTTACTAGCTGGTAACTTCGGGTAAGTTACTTCTCTGTGCCTTGGTTTCCTTATCTGTGTGAAACGATTATACATGAAATGCCAACAAAGGGGCTGGCATATAGTAAGCATTATGTAAATGTTGAGGAGCCCCAGTGGTACAGTGGTTAAGTGCTTGGCTGCTAACCGAAAGGTTGGTGGTTCAAACCCATTAGCCTCTCCACAGGAGAAAGATGTGGCTGTCTGCTTCCATAATGCCTCAGAAGCACTATGGGGCAGTTCTACTCTGTCCTAAAGGGTTGCTATGAGTTGGAATTCAACTGATGGCACCAAGTTTGGTCTTTTATTTTTATGTAAATGTTTACTATGATTAATCAAGCCTATCTTTTTGTACAAGTCCGAGGACAAGAAACAGTGGAGGACGAGAAAGAGCCAACGAGAAGAAGTATGAAGACATTAGAGGGATGTGAAAGTAGGGTGCTGAAGGAACTGGCATGAACTCTAGAGGACAGCTGAAGGATTAACTTGAAGATGCACTTCTAAGGAAAGAGACAATAAAAAGAATAATGCACAATCTGGCAAATGAGGATACTCTGTTGAATGGCTTCTATCTTCCCAATGAAGTAAGAATAATGCCATCTACTGATAAATAAGAACTCAGTATATTTTTAGTATTTTAGAAAGTTCTACCCTGAATAGGAACAGAACACTACCACAGCTAGATTTTCCTTATGCCACTGATGGTTTCTGTTTACACATGTGAATTTAACTTTTTTTTTTTAATATTTTTTTTACTGTACTGTAGGTGAAGGTTTACAGAACAAAGTTTCTCATTAAACAAGTCAGTACACATATTGCTTTATGACAACTGTTAACAACCCCATGACATGTCAACACTGTCCCTTCTCAACCTTGGGTTCCCTATCACCAGCTTTCTTGTCCTCTCCTGCCTTCTAGTCCTTGTCCTTGGACTGCTGTGCCTCATTAGTCCCATTTTGTTTTATGGGGCTGTCCAATCCCTGGCTGAATTTAACTTTTTTTTAAAAAAACCTAAATACTAGAATACTGCTACTAGATAGTTACTATCAGTTTTTAGAATGCATAAACTCTGAATAAATGAAATCTGGGGATGATGGTTGTCAAGTCAAAACAATTACAAAGAAACTTTTAAGGTACAGATTTCTAGAGTAATCCAAATACAGTTTGTGCCAATTAGAATCTCTGAGGTGAAAAAAATCATTCACTTTTCTCCTGTAGGTGTGTATGTATCACATCTGTGCATGTCTTTTCAGCGTGATAAAAGAAATCTAAGTTATAAATATTAACCTTGTAAGTTTCTTCAGGATGCCAGCACACACTCATTCCAGGGGAACGAAGAGCAAAATGAGCTGTCTGAACTCCTTCCAAGTCCCAAATCCTAATAACAGAATAGGAGTATAATGTTAAATATTTTGATGTATCACTACTAAAAAAAATTAAATTTCCATGAATTTATTCAAAGTTATTAACTAGAGATTGCAAAGTAGACATTTATAGTTAAAGTACATCTTTTAAAGAAAACTATAACACTGCTTTTAGAAAATGTGGAAGTAGTATGAAGAATTTAAAGTTTACCATACTAGATCATGGAAAAAGGAATCTCACACACATTATCTCTAATTAATGCAACACAGCAACACTGTAATGCAGTAACCAAATTAGATTATGTATATATTTTGTGGGCTAAATCTTGAAGTGTCTAGGTCACTAATCAGTTGCATCCCTACTTCAGTAGTCATTTCATAATTAACAATAATTTTTACCAGTGGTACTTAAAAAAATTGTGCTCCCATTTTCAAAATAACATATAAGAAATCTGATATGAGGTGATGTCAATTTGGGGAGATAGCCACTTTCCTTAGCTGGTTATTCCTTCTACCTTTTGGCTTTCACTCCAGTCTCTACTTCCTGTCTTACAGCTTTTCTCTTCTGGCTCACTTCCCTGGAGGCCAGGCATGATAGCGGCCACATTAAAGGTGGGTTAAAGGAATAGGCACCTGGGCCCTCTCATTTTCCCTCCCCTCAATACTTACAAATTCAAGGTAAAAAGGACCAGGTTACTCATTGATACATCTCTACCATCCCAATTTCTTTCCCATCCCCAGAGTGGGGATCAGGACTCAGAAGTCTTAGTCAGGGCACTTTGTTGTGAGAAGCACTACCACCAACCCAGAATGTTTTCTGGCCCATTCTTTACACTCAGCCACCATCATATCTTGCTGTCACAAAGTATGACAGAGAGTTAGCATGGAAAGAGTCGGTAAGTTGGTGGGGGCTGGCAAAATACCCACAGAATTCTGTCCCTTAACAACTAAACACATTCATTAGAATATCTTGAACTTTTTCTTCGAGGTTTTACAGTTCATATCTTATTAGAGACCATAAAACAATTTCAACAAATTTAAATGAGGTATCTTTAAAGTTAGGCAAAAGTTTATTTCAAAGAAAGTAAACATTATTGGACAATGCTAGTACTCTGTGCCAAACCACAATATTTAAAATATTTTTCTTCCTTGTAGAAATTATAGGGTCTCCAATGCTGAAATATCATGGTTACATAGAAACTAACACAAATGTTTAAAATATATTTAGCTATTTGATTAAATAATTTAGAATCATACTCTTTTCTCTTGCCAAATCAACACTTCTCATCTTTATTATCAAGGGAGACAATTACAATTTAATTTAAGAGGGGAATCACATTCCCCAAGGGTTTATGCAATTGTATTTCACCCCTCCACGAATGAGATTATTAATTATGGCAACTGAATATTTTTTTCTTTTCTACTGACTTTTTAATAATAAAGTACCAGGCTAGCGTATATTTCACCACTACTGAACTAGAGGAATTTGTCTTGCAAATTCAGTGATTCCCAGAGACAATGGTTTAAAACCCCTCATTCTTTTTTTAAATTTTTATTTTATTGTACTTTAAATGAAAGTTTAGAATTTAGTTAGACTCTCATACAAAAATTTATACATACATTGTTATGTGACCCTAATTGCTCTCCCTATACTGTGACAGCACACTCCTCCTTTCCACCCGATTTCCCATGTCCATTCAACCAGCTCCTGACCCTCCCTGCCTTCTCATCTCACCTCTGGACAGGAGCTGCCCATTTAGTCTCGTGTATCTACTTGAGCTAAGAAGCACACTCTTTATGAGTATCATTTTATGTCCCATAGTCCAGTCTAATCTTTGACCAAAGAGTTGGCCTCGGGAATGGTTTTAGTGCTGGGCTGACAAAGAGTCCACAGGCCACGCTCTCTGGGTTTCCTCCACTCTCAGTCAGACCATTAAGTCTGGTCTTTTCACTAGAACTTGAGTTCTGCACCCCACTTTTCTGCTGCTCCAACTGGGGCTCTCTGTTGTATTCCCCACCAGGGTGGTCACTGGTGGTAGCCAGGCACCATCTACTTCTTCTGGTCTCAGGCTGTTGCAGTCTTTGGTTTATGTAGCCTTTTCTGTCTCTTGGGCTAATGCTTTCCTTGTGACTTTGGTACTCTTCATTCTCCTTTGCTCTAGGTGGGCTGGGATCAACTGATCCATCTTAGATGGCCCTTGCTAGCTTTTAAGATCCTAGACGCCACTCACCGAAGTAGGATGCAGAACATTTTCTTAATAAACTTTGTTATGCCAGTTGACCTAGATGTCTCCTGAAAGCATGGTCCCCAGACCTCCGCCGCTGCTACTCTGTCCCTCGAAGTGTTTGGTGGTATTCAGGATACTTCTTAGGTTTGGTTTAGTCCTGTCTTGACTTCCCCTGTAGTGTGTGCTGTCCTTCCCTTCACCTAAGATAATTCTTGTCTACTATCTAGTTAGTGAATAATCCTCTCCCTACCTACGCACCCTTGTAACCATCAAAGAATGTTTTCCTCTGTTTAAACCTTTTCTTGAGTTCTTATAATAGGGGTCTCATACAATATTTGTCCTTTTGCAACTGACTAAAATCACTCAGCATAATGCCTTACAGATTGCTCCATGTTATAAGGTGTTCCACGGATTCATCGTTCTTTATCGTTGCGTAGTATTCCATTGTGTGAATATACCATAATTTATCCATTTGTCTGTTGATACGCACCTAGGTTGTTTCCATCTTTTTGCTATTGTGAACAGTGCTGCAATGAACATGGGTGTGCATGTATCTATTCGTGTGATGGCTCTTATTTCTCTAGAATATATTCCAAGGGGCAGGATTGCTGGATTGTGTGGTACTTCTATTTCTAGCTTTTTAAGGAAGTGCCAAATCGATTTCCAAAGTGGTTGTATCATTTTACATTTCCACCAACAGTGTGTTAAGCATTCCAGTCTCTCCACAACCTCTCCACATTTATTATTTTGTGTTCTTTGGATTAATGCTAGCGTTGTTGGGGTAAGATGGTATCTCATTGTAGTTTTGATTTGCATTTCTCTAATGGCTAATGATCGTTAGCATTTCTTCATGTGTCTGTTAGCTGCCTGAATATCTTCTTTGGCGAAGTGCCTGTTCATATCCGTTGCCCATTTTTTAACTGGGTTAAACCCCTCATTCTTCTTTTTTTTTTTTATATTTTATTGTACTTCAGGTGAAGGCTTACAGAACAAATAAGTTTCTCATGGAACAGTAGTACACATGCTGTTTTATGACATTGGTTAACAACCCCACAACATATTAACCCCCTAAATTCTCAACTTTTTTTTTTTTTTTTTGGTGAAAATACACATAGCCAAAGATACGCCATTTCAAAAATTTTTTTTTAACGTACGCATTTAAGTGACATTGACTACGCTCTTCTGATTGTGCTGTTATTCTCACTTAAGATGAAGGCTTACAGGACAAAATAGTTTCCCATTTAACAGTTACTACAAATGTTGCCATATGACAATGGTTAACAATCTCACAACACATCAACAATATCCTTACTCTACTTTGTGTTCCCTATCATCAGCTTCCTACTCCCC